TCGGACTAAAGTTATAATACCATATTTTATCTATTTTACGCCAATTTTTGCTAAAAATCAAATTTTAAAAAATTCATAACAAAGCGAAAAAAGGGTTTATTTTAATTCGGAAAGCTGTCCCGTGCTAGTTTTTATCACGTTAACAAATCTGCATACTCAAAGAAAAATGTTTGTAAATGGAAATGACTTAAATTATAATCACATTCTTTGAGTAGCTATTTTTTATATTTTTATGCCAATTTTTCCTAAAAATCAAATTGAAAAAAAACCGTAACTAAGCCAAAAACGCATTAATTTCAATTCGGAAAGCGTTCCTATGCTAGTTTTTATTGGGCTAACAAATCTGCATACTCAGTTTTGAATTTTAGAAAATTGAATTTTTTGCCAATTTTTGACAATTTTAATGGTGTAACCCCTTATCATTTTTTGCAAAAATGGAAATATTTTTAAAAATTTCGATTTCTTCCAGACATGCCAAGATCGATTCAGCTGTTGATGCTGATCAAGAATATATATGATTTATAGGCTCGGAAATGACTCCTTCACTGCTTTACAAGCTTCGGACTAAAGTTATAATACCATATTTTATCTATTTTACGCCAATTTTTGCTAAAAATCAAATTTTAAAAAATTCATAACAAAGCGAAAAAAGGGTTTATTTTAATTCGGAAAGCTGTCCCGTGCTTGTTTTTATCACGTTAACAAATCTGCATACTCAAAGAAAAATGTTTGTAAATGGAAATGACTAAATTATAATCCCATTCTTTGAGTAGGTATTTTTTATATATATTTCTGCCAATTTTTCCTAAAAATCAAATTGAAAAAAACCCGTAACTAAGCCAAAAATGCATTGATTTCAATTCGGAAAGCGTTCCTATGCTAGTTTTTATTGGGCTAACAAATCTGCACACTCAGTTTTTAATTTTAGAAAATTGAATTTTTTGCCAATTTTTGACAATTTTAATGATGTAACCCCTTATAATTTTTGCAAAAATGGAAATATTTTTAAAAATTTCGATTTCTTCCAGACATGCCAAGATCGATTCAGCTGTTGATGCTGATCAAGAATATATATGATTTATAGGCTCGGAAATGACTCCTTCACTGCTTTACAAGCTTCGGACTAAAGTTATAATACCATATTTTATCTATTTTACGCCAATTTTTGCTAAAAATCAAATTTTAAAAAATTCATAACAAAGCGAAAAAAGGGTTTATTTTAATTCGGAAAGCTGTCCCGTGCTTGTTTTTATCACGTTAACAAATCTGCATACTCAAAGAAAAATGTTTGTAAATGGAAATGACTAAAATTATAATCCCATTCTTTGAGTAGGTATTTTTTATATATATTTCTGCCAATTTTTCCTAAAAATCAAATTGAAAAAAACCCGTAACTAAGCCAAAAATGCATTGATTTCAATTCGGAAAGCGTTCCTATGCTAGTTTTTATTGGGCTAACAAATCTGCACACTCAGTTTTTAATTTTAGAAAATTGAATTTTTTGCCAATTTTTGACAATTTTAATGGTATCATTATCATTTTTTGCAAAAATGGAAATATTTTTAAAAATTTCGATTTCTTCCAGACATGCCAAGATCGATTCAGCTGTTGATGCTGATCAAGAATATATATGATTTATAGGCTCGGAAATGACTCCCTTACTGCTTTACAAGCTTCGGACTAAAGTTATAATACCATATTTTATCTATTTTACGCCAATTTTTGCTAAAAATCAAATTTTAAAAAATTCATAACAAAGCGAAAAAAGGGTTTATTTTAATTCGGAAAGCTGTCCCGTGCTAGTTTTTATCACGTTAACAAATCTGCATACTCAAAGAAAAATGTTTCTAAATGGAAATGACTAAAATTATAATCCCATTCTTTGAGTAGGTATTTTTTATATATTTATGCCAATTTTTCCTAAAAATCAAATTGAAAAAAACCCGTAACTAAGCCAAAAATGCATTGATTTAAATTTTTTTTTCAAATTTTTAGTTTTAGAAAATTGAATTTTTACCAATTTTTGGCAATTGTAACCTTATCTATTTTCAATTTAAAATAAATATTGTTTGCTTATTTTCATTCCTCTAACTTAAGAATGTCGTTAATAAAAGAATAATTCCCTTCCCTTGTAAAAAAATAATTAAACACATTTCGTTATTTCGTTTTTTTCTGTTTTGTTTTTAATTTGTAATTTATCATCAGTTTCAGAGTTTTTTTGGGTTTTCGAAATTGAGTGTGTTAGTGTTAATAATAGTTTGCTTATCAGTAATTGGTATTAATTAATTTTAAATTAAACTTAGATCCATTTTACATATATGTCTGATGGCCAACCACTGACCAGCATTTAAAGATTGCATCGTAAACACACACTTATCATGCTCGTCCTCATCCCGCCCCTCCTACTGATCCTCAATTCAATATCAATTTTTACAAAGTTTTTCCTTTTAGTTTCTTTTAAAAGAAAACAAATTTGAGAACCAATGTTTTGTGTTTTGTTTTGTTTTTTGAAATAATTTAAGCTCGAATTTCGTATTGTGTTGATTTAAAACATTCACTTCTGTATCTCTGGGTATTTATCACTAAGTAACCAATTAATTTCGCACAGAACTGCATAGAGTTTGCTTAAGAACTAAATCCCTTTCCGTCGATCCAATCCTCTGATTCGGTTTCCCCTTCTTTGGCTATAAAAATTAAATTACATTTAGGTTATATGCTTTTGAACTTTTGCACTATTTTGTTGTAGATGTTTTTTGTTTTTCATTGTTTTCTTTAATTTGTTTGTAATTTGTTTTATCCTTTTACTGCTGCTGCTGCTGTGTGAGTTTCGATTTGTTGTTCGTTACATTAAATTACAACAAATAATTGGTAGTTAAGATTAGTGTTTTGTTTGGTTTTACAAATTTTAGTTTCACTTCGATTCGTATCGTTTCATTTTTTTTTGCTTTGTGGTGCTTGGCTAAGGCGACTTTTGTTCGGTTGCTTTCACTTTGTTGTTTTAGTTGTCTTTACATTTTGCAATATATTTAACTTTTTGTATCTGTCCGTGTTCATGCGTTTTCCGTCTTCCGCTTTTCACATTGTCATGTAATACGTACACACAAAAAATGGGAACAATTTGCACTTGAATGGAAATCGTAATGGTAAAAATATAAATGTAAATATATTTCAAACCGAAGAGAACAAAGTCTAGATCATGTTTTTGGTCAGAAAAAAGACATGGAACAAAGGACAAAACGAAAATACACATTTTAGTCGTTCTTTAAAAATTTGTGCTAGAAATTCGGCTATTAAAATTATTTAAGTTCGTACATACACTTGGAGAAAAAGTACACATCGTCGCTTCGTTTCATCGTTTTGTTTTTCTTTCTTTCTTTCGTTACATTTTGGTTTTCACTTTAACATATTCAGTCTTTCAGCTTTCAACATAAATAAATTAATTAAATTAATTTATTTGATTACATTTAAAAACATCTTGTGTTGCTTGTTGGTTTGCTGCCTGTAAATAATTTCGAGTTCTATTGCATTTATGTGGTAATTTCTCGCTTGTCTGCCTTATACGCTTGCGTTGTCTTTAAAATTTATAGCCAAAAAGTTGTTTCAAGAGAATTTTGAAAAATTTCACATACCGGTCAAAGTTGGTTGTAAAAGCCAAAAGTTTGCTTTGCTTGTTTCCATTGCTGCCTTACTTAACTTAATTGCTACGCTTTCTGTATTTATCATTTACATTTAGTTGTAGTAATTATTATATATTTTGTAATATAGTTTTTCGATCTCAATCCCTTCCTTCCCTCCTTCCCTCACGTAAACTGCCTTCGGTTTGGGTTTTACTTTTCATCAATTTAAAATCTTTTCACGTGGACGTAGCATCTATTCGTTCTCCAAAATGGTTTTGCTTAACCTTAATTTAATCGTTATATATATATAAGAAATATATAAAATTTTGTGTCTAAATTCAGTTGTTTTTAGGAGTTTTTTGTTTTTTGTTTGAAACTAAAACCACTTTCCGTTACATTTCGTCTGAAAGCTTTCTCAAATATCGTTTCAATTTGTATTTATTTGGTTTTCTTTGTTTTGTTTTTTTGGGTGGGGCTTACGTTATCGTAGTTCTATATAGTCTTTATTGCGATCATTGCTTTTATATACGCCAACTGAAAGTTTGTTGTCTAAATTGTTTCTCATTTCGTACGTTTCTTACTGTGTAAACCGGTCTCTTGTTAAGGCATCTGCTTTTTGTCACTGAAGTGGTAGGTTTTTGTTTCGTTTTTAGTTTTGGTTTTGCATTTTTTGGGGTTTTATTTTCAATATCTTTTCAGCTGCATTGGAATTTTGGATTAATTTCTATTTCAACTTAGGATTTTTCGTATAATGTAAAGACTCCGAAAGTTGATTTTATATTTGCCCAAACGTTCTTTTTTAGATTTGACTCCTAAAAACAACGAAATACATTTGTTTTTCATTAGTGAATAATTTTGCTGTGCCTTAAGTTACAATTTTAATTTGAAAAGTGTTTCGTTCTTTCGCTTTTGGTTTTTGCGTTGTAATATAGTTACTAGACAAAGTTTCTCGATTTAAATTCAATTTAGAATTTAGAATTTCGATTTTTCATATTTTTGGGGATTTCTTAATTTAGATTCTCCTCGCATATATCTCTTACTAAACTTAAATTTGCATTACTGTTCGGCCTAAAATTGTATGCAGTTTACAATGCGTATTTGTTATTCTTTCTTTTTTTTATAGATTACTTTGAATATTAATTATTTTTACGCATATAATGCCCTTGCTGGATACGGCTTCCTAATTGTTAACCTGAAACTTAAAATAAACTAAAATACAAGTCTTATGATTAAATACAAAATAAATAAAAACACATGTTTATGTTGCAAAATCAAAGAAAAGTTTAATTTCAATTAAAAAACTTAACATTATACAATGAAATATCAACCGAGGTTTCTTTTGAACACAAAAATATATATAAAAAGCATACATTTTTTAAACAAATCTTAAGGAATATATATTATTGTGTTTATGTTGTTATGTATTCCTTTAGTAAACTAAATCTTTTTGTCACTATATTTAGTGGTGGCTTGCGATTAATGGAACTTTCGCTTTTTGCCACCACGCTGCTTCTTGCCCTTGCCCTTGCCCTTCTTGGCCAGTTTACGCTTTTTGCTGCCATCACCACGCATCGCGGATTCCCGACTGATTTCCCCAAGAATTTCATCGCCAAGTGTGCCTGTGAATAGAATTAAAGTATCCTTAATTAGTAAAGATCAGTTAAAGTACTATATTAATCACTTACCCAACGTGGTCAGCTTGCGTTGCCGATGCTTCTCCGCCTTGGTCACCGGCAGACGCATCAAATAGGTCTCCTCGTACTCCTGCTTCTCCTTTTGCGCATGGGAAAGAATCTGTTGAGCCCGGGAGCCAGATGATATCTCTGTGGGGGCATCCAAGTACTCTTCCTTCAGATCTTGCAGCATGGAGGAACTAGGGGGAGGAACCATAAATTCAAGTTACTATTAGCTTCACTAGAAACTCTAAACAAACTCACGTGATGGCCCGCTTCTTGGCCCGCTCTAGAGCCTTCTTCTCCTTGTCCGCATCACGCTCATCGCCATCGTAGTACACAGGCTTAATGCGTGGCGGCACATAGACTCCAGATTTTCCAGCTGTGGCTGCCTTTCGAGGCTTTTTCGCTGGTCCTGCCCCATCCTCGTCCTCCTCATCCTCATCCTCATCACTGTCGCTGCCTGCCTCCGCCTCATCCTCATCGTCATCGTCATGGTCACCATCCCGGCCTGCTCCAGCCGCACTGCTCATCATATCATCCGGATTTGGTTTATAGAGTATGGGATCTGTACTGCTCGACACTCCAGTGGTGGCTGTCTTAACCAGCTTATCGATCTGATAGCGTAGCTTGTGATCTATGGGTCGAATCTTCTCCAGCACTGTGCGTATCTCGATAAGTCTTTCGATGGAGGGATCACCCTCAATGGTCTCGCCAGAGCATTTGCGGAGCACCACATAGGTCAGGTTAATCAAGTAGTCGAGCAGCATGTGATACTTTACTTCAAGGAAACTCAATCCATATTCTGTGGTAAGTTCCCCGCGTTTCACCCGCTGCAACATGCCTTCCACAAGATCTGTGACCTGTTTTACATTGCTATTCATCTCACCCAGCAGCTGAATGGCCTGGGGAATGTCCTGCTGACCCTGAACCTCGCAATCGTAGTCGAGTGCCTTTAAAGAAACATTTTGAGACATGAAATTAATCTGTAATTTAGTTTAAATACAAATGTAGAAAGCAATAATGAGCTTACCATGCTGTTGCTCAGATATTTTCTATGCAACTAAATATAATGTGTGATATTTTGGTTTATACAGCATGCACTTGTTCAGATCTGCTCAGCATGCCACCAAACAAAATAGAAGGAGTTTGGGTATTATACACATGACACTCCCCATTCGGTTATGTGTCGCGAAACTCATTTGCATATTTTATTGGTTGCCATTTAATTATTTGCATTTTACAACATTTTTGGCCACACACTCCAGTCACTCCCCCTTCGTTCAACCCAATTCCCAACCCCATTTGGGGGCAGCTGCTCTTTGACCGACCCGGCTTATGCTGCATTTATTTTCAATTAATATTAATAAAGCAGGCGACGCAGGACCCTGGGTTCAGTCGGGGGATTTGTCTATTTTAGAGATTAATTGCAAAATAGCATGGATCGCGCAATTTTTTTTTTTTTGTACTTTGTTTGGTTTGTTTTTGTCATTGGTGGTCTGTGAATTTTGTCTGCAGTTTACAAAGCAATTTACCAAATAATTATTTTGATAGCAAAATTGCTGGTCGAGTGCAGAGCAGCCCGCAGGTTTTATGGCACTTTTTGCCTTGAAATTTGCATATTATTATTGGCAAATTATTTTAATTGCATTTTGTGGCCAGGCATCTATATATATGTATATATATATGTATGTAAATGCATACATGCATAAAACAATGTGAATTCCTTTTCAAAATGTGGCTAAAATGGAAAATGGACGGCTGGGGCTCTCAATTTCCATACATATTATATAATCAGCAGTACAGTTGATTCAAAATGCGGGTCTAATTAAATGTGAAAATAACAAATGGTATTCATTTGCAGTTGGGAACAAATATGAAATTTTATTTATAAGATATTCAAGGAATAATAAAGAATTTGTGTATGAAAATGTAAGAAAAAACCAGTGATTATCACGAGCCTCTGGAATTGATCTCGAGATCTCCAGCTCGTAGATCTAGAGTTTTGCCTTTGCACCACATTTATCCTTGAGTCAAATTTGACCAAGTTGCTTTATTATGCCCTGGGAATTAGCTGACTTTTTGGGTTTCAAAAATAAGCATAAAAAATTGGTTTTTCAGGGTTCATCTTTAATTAGAAATGAAGCCCTCGCTACCAAAATAATTATGACAATGGAGTCAACTCTACAGGTAGAAGAAGCTTTATTTTAAGCGCTCTTCACTTGAAACTCTCTTAGGAAACAAAGAAGCTATATATAAAATTTTAATTCCCACATCATCAAACATGTTAAATAATCTACATTTCCTTAAAATCATTTAACTATACCACAATATATGATTTAACCTTACTTAGACTATCCTAGGTAAGACATAAATAATAAAATAATAATAAATATATACTGAAACCTGAGCTAAAGACCTAGCTTAGCTATTTTTCCTATTTGTTAGCTCTTTATAAATAAATTAAAATTTAAATCATCTTAAAATCAAAATGTTATAATTTGAAATAAACAATATAGAAATAAATAAAAGATTCCCAAGATATGATTAAAATCTCCCCAAGAATGTAAAACTAAACAGAAACATGGCTTTTTAGTCGCTTTTCCCACTTATTCTAAACTGAATTAATATATTTGCATATGTTTTCATTAATCCCTATAAATTTTAATAATTCTACAAGCCAAAAAAAATGCAACATTGCATTTCAAATTCCCTAATCACTTGGCATTTGACATCGAACGGAGTGTAAGCCTGTAATGCTAACAATATAAACGTAATTACACCCTGTGACACGCACTTGACTAACGTGGAAAATAGTCAAACCTTCCGGGTTTTTGGACAGCAACAACAACAAAAGCGTTGAATAAAACGCGGGCATATTTTAGCAGCAAAAACAGCCAATTGCAGTTAGGATGCAGTCCAACTGGCTGCCATTTCGATATAGATCCCAATCCAGGACCAGGGGTCCGAAATGACCCGAAATGAGATGAGATGGGGCAGCATAACGAGGCCTCCCCATTAAAAACACCAGCAATAACAACCAAAACGGGGGAGGAGGAGCAGGAGGAGGAGGAACCAACAACATGGTCCTGGGACCTGCCAAAAGCAATTACAACAAAATGGCAAACTATAGTTTTTGGATCCTACACATTACCCTAACCAAAACTGGACTCTGCACACACACACACCCCATCCCTTTGCGTGGCGAAATGATTTAAAATTCGACGGGCTTTTTGTGTAATTTTCGAATGGGGAAAACAACAACAAAAACGACAGCAAACAATGCAATTGTTGTTAATGTTTGTTGTAGTTGCAATTGCAATTGCAGTCGCAGTTGTTGCAGCATTAACCGTTATTTAGCAATGGATTTTATATGTGTGCGAGTGTGTGTGTTTGAGGGTCTGGAAATGCGCCAGTAAGTAGGCAATGCAAATGCAATTGAATGCATTTCTGGGTGGCAAAAGGGACGCCTCCCTTTTGGTTTTTACATATATACACATGCGCTGTACGTGCTGTCAACACTATATATATGTAGATATATATTTATATATATATATATATAGAGGTATATATGTGTATATACATATATGACCATCCGCAGAATGCGAATAAACAAACAATTTTTCCCTGGCATTTTTGCCAGCGCATGAATAAAATATAAAATGCAATTTCTGTTTGTTTGCCTGGCCAGGTTATAGGGTTCCCCCTCTTTCTCTCTGCCAACACACACCACACTCACACACCCTCACACCCCAAAATCGCAGAATTTAATGACAGCATTTGATGGCGTCTGACTGCCTCTTTTGACCATTACCATTCTCATTCCCATTCCCCCTGCCTCTACTCTGGTCCAGAGTGCATCTGCATTCGCCGCGTCTGGAATTATCATGGTTGGAATTTTTGGTATCCAATTTATTTTTATTTTATTTTATGCATTAATGTCATAAATAAATGTCGGTGTGTATTTGTGTGTGGTTTGAAATGGCGTCTGCGATAATTGCGTAAATCCCTTGCATATTTATAGGCTGCTCTCAAATTGGCATTGCGTGCATAATTTCTGACAGACGGCAGACGATAATATGAAATTGAGGTGCCTTTTGAGGGATTGGGTTTGAGTTTTCCGCCAATTTTCGTCAGCAAAATGATTGGGAAATAAGTAGCAGTTAGATGTTGGAATATTTATTAGTAGAAATACTAAATTTTCACAAAGTTAATAACGTGAACTACTAGGAAAATACTTGTAAGAACTTATATTCAAAGCATTTAAGGAAGCTAACTATCCTGCAAGGGTATAAAGCTGACTATTAAGATCTTTTTCACATTTTGTTTTAGTTAGCTTAATGTTTTTTAGAGAAAATTCCTAGTTTTACCCTTTTCGGATATTGTTATTTCAGTCAGAAGCTTATAAAGCAGTGAAGGAATCATTTCCGACCCTATAAATCATATATATTCTTGATCAGCATCAACAGCTGAGTCGATCTAGGCATGTCTGGAAGAAATCGAAATTTTTTAAAATATTTCCATTTTTGCAAAAAATGATAAGGGGTTACATCATTAAAATTATCATAAATTGGCAAAAAAAAAATGCAATTTTCATTTAGATATGTATTATTTGAGAAGCTGTAATAATTTTTGTTGAACCCTAAATGTCTATAAAACATATTAATAATAATTTTATTAATAGCTTCTTGCATAAAGTGAAAAATTCTTATGACAAATGGATATGTCATAATATGAAGTCTTTTTAACGCACTCTCTAATGTCCAAAATCAATCCATCGAGATACTACCTGTATTCCGTACTTTATTTTCTTAATATTTCGAAAGGAATGATATGTATTATCCCAAATTTATCTCAAAACCTCCCCCTAAGCGATCCAAACTTCAGTACAAACCCCACCCAGAACCCATAATCAAACCCAAAAAAAGAAACCCCCCTTCAAGCACAACCACACACCAAAGACACACTAATGCCACCTTGACATTTAGCAAATCACAGGCACCAAGCACTTGGCATAAATTTGATGGCTGGAGCTGTGAAGGGTACCAAGCGGACAGGATCACTTGTTTCAATTAGAAGCCTTCCAAATTGGAAGGACACCCTCGAAAATTTCAGCCACGTTGCGAGGCATGCACGGTGACGCCCATTAGAAATCGATTGACATAACTCAAAAATTGTGCAAATTAACGTTAAACCAGCGAGCCAAACGACAATATGGGCGTAGGAGTGGGCCGGGACTCCGCATAAATAACGGCGGTTCGGGTCAGAGCCAGAAATATGACCTGGCAGTGGGTGGGGTGGAGAGCGGACCACGGACAGTGTTTGGCGGCTGGCTGATGAAATACGCGCAGGCTGGCGCCTAACCGCAGTGAGCCACCCAACCACATGGTCATCCTAGCTCCGCGGCGTGAAATATCCTCGCTTCTCGCTCCTCGCTCCTCCACACACCACCCAAAAAACAGGACATCAAAATTTATGCAACGTTTCGTGCTACGTGTGTCGCTGTCTTTGTTGCCACCGCAGTTGTTGCTGTTGCTGTTGCCATCGTTGTTGCTGCCATGTCCTGGGTCCTTGCATTGCCAATATCCGAAATATTGATTGGAGTTTATGGGGAGAGAGTGCTAGGAACGCAGAGCTTAGCCAGCTTTTTGGTTAGTTCGACCCGTTTGCAACCAGCGGGCCATGAGAGCCACTTGCTAATAAAATGAAACCACACCAAAATCGAGCAGCGAAAATAGTGTTCTCAGAAAGGATTTCTCTCGATAAAAACATTGATGAAAATATGTGTATGAGATTATGAAATCTTTAAAGTGATAGGAAAGCAATATATCTTAAGCTGCGATTTTCTTAAGACTTAAACTTTAAATTCAAGTGATCGGAAAGGTATCTGGTGTTTTTCTGATAACTTTTATATTATTAGGATGAGCTCTAAGCTTATCTTATTTTTAAATAT